TTATCACAAAAATAGACCTCAAAAATTAAAATAACCAAAATAGCATTTTTTTCTTTTGAAAATTTTAAGTTTTCTTAATTTTTTTAAATTCGGAACCCTATCCCCAAAACACACTCCTCAACTCTAAACAAAAAAATCTAGGATTAGTTAACCCAAAGGGTATAAATGTATATTTAATAAAACATTAAATGTTATTTTGGTCATTTTAATTGTTAAGGTCTATATTTGTGATAAATTTTGGGAGAATTTCAATTATACTACTTTGGTGGTACCACTTTTCATGTTTACCATCAACAAATGAACATTTTCAAAAATACACATTTTATTAAAGGATAAAAGACTCTTATATCCTTGTTTTTTATATATATACATAAAATAAATATTAAATAAAATATTAACCCTAAACCCTAAAACATCAATTCTAAACTCTAGACCCTAAAAAGTAAACCCTAAACCCTAAAATATCAATTCTAAACCTTAAACCCTAAAATCTAAAAAATAAACCCTAAACCCTAAAAAATCAACAATAAACCCTAAACTATCAATCATAAACCCTAAACCCTAAATTCTAATAGTATTTTGACTATTAAAATTTTAGTGGTAAAGTTGGTTAGTGTAAAGTTGAAAAGTGGTATCATGAAAGTGTTATTTTTGGCAATTTCCCAAAAAATTTATGTCTATTCTAGTCATTTTCTCTTAACTATATATCTAACTTTATTTTAATCGATAAAAAAATAAACTGCAGAACATAAAAGATCACATGTACTACATCAAAAATTAATAAATTTTGCATTAGAAATTTGAAAACATCATCTAATTTGAAACATAAAATCTCTACAACGTTATCTATTGAAAACGAAAAATGGAGAGAATATAACGTATGAAACATAGAGAAGATCATTTGTTACCTTGTAGAGTTAATGTAAGAGATGAGTGAGTCAAAGTCATCTGGTGATAAAGCAGAGAAGGGTATAGCATGGATGGATGCATAGTCTTTAGAGCTAAGAATAATGGATGCAACAGCTCCCATTGATTGAGCTATTGATGCACCATCAGAATTAGCGCATACCAAGATCTTCCCTTTTACGAGAGATTCATCTAGACACCTTGCATTGCATTCCCTGGAAAAGGATAGTTAAATATATTAAAGGATGTTAACCATAAAATGGCGTTTCTTGAGCAGAAAGTTACTTGGCAGAATCCGTGCTGCAGGCAGGCAAAGCAGCAGATTTCCCGTACAACAGAGGGTACTTTTTTCCTTTCAGATCAAAAGCATTTACTGATTTCCCCTATTAAAAATAATGGAACAGAAGAGTCCTTTGTTATAATAAAGAGGAAGATAAGATCATTTTTAAGTAAAAAAAAAAGATCCTTTTCTATTGTTTAAGTGTTTTAATTTCGTTTCATAAAAAAATATACTCTCTCTGTTTTAGAATATTTGTAATTCTATGTTTAATTTTGTCACAAATTAATTGTCGTTTTAGAGTTTCGAGACAAAATTTATTAATTTTATATAATATTCTATTTTTCTAATGGTTGAAAAGTGGATAGATGTATAGTAATTGTGTTTTTATCTTTAAAAAACAATTCAATACAAAATTTTAATCATTATTTTAAAGTACTAAATGGAGAAAAACTGTTATTAAATGTATTGATGAATGGTAAAAAGAAAATTTTAGTTTTCTTATATTAAAATGGCGTAGGCTCTGAATAGAAAAGTGCATCAAATGTTTGTGGATCTAGCGTAACAAGCAAATCGAATAGAATAAAAGTGGATCAAGAGGATGTAGCGATACAAGTGCGGGTTATCTAACGGTATAAAAGATATGTTTGAATAGTGAAAATGGATAATAACAATACAAAATACCATATAAATTTTTAAACAATTTAAAATTTATTAAATTTTATGTTCTTATAAAAGTAATAATTTACTTTTGAGATTTAATCGTAATTAACATATCAATTTTAAATATCTAAAAATTCAAATAAAATAACACATTGTTAATATACTATTACAATATTAATTATTATTCAAATTAAATTAAAAAACATATATACAAATGTTTAATATACTACATCACTTTTATTTAATTTTTTTTTTTATAATTTACGTAGCTAATATGATGATAATAGCATTTTGTAACTTCTAAAATGATAATATTAACATTTTAATATAAAATTTTAATATTTTTATTTTCAGTTGTGACTTTTATTCTTAAACTAATATTTTATTGTACGTTAGTGAATATGCTTAGAGTAGAGTAAAAATAGTTAAGATATCAATCCACAGGTGTATCATAATTTTGGTCAACCTATGATAATTGGGAAATTGTTAGAAATAACACTTTCAATCTAACAATTTTCAACTTTACACTAACCAACTTTACCATTAAAATTTTAATAGTCAAAATACTATTAGAATTTAGGGTTTTGAGTTTAGGATTGATAGTTTAGGGTTTAGTGTTGATTTTTTAGGGTTTAGGGTTTACTTTTTAGGGTTTAGAGTTTAGGGTTTAAGGTTTAGAATTGATATTTTAGGGTTTAGGGTTGATTTTTAGGGTTTAGGGTTTACTTTCTAGGACCTAGAGTTAAGAATTGATGTTTTAGGGTTTATGGTTAATATTTTATTTAATATTTATTTTATGTATATATATAAAGAACAAGGAAATAAGAGTCATTTATCATTTAATAAAATGTGTATTTTTAAAAATGTTCCTTTGTTGATGGTAACCACCAAAAGTGGTATAATTGAAATTATCGCATGATAATTTGACTATTTGCATTATTTTATTTAGAAACACAAGTGAATTACTTTTTGTTGTTGAATGGGAGTTCAAAATCGGATGTACTGTCTAAGGTGTAAAACCCATCTTTTTATATATAGAAACGAGGGTGGTACTTGATTATTTACCTCAAGTGTCTTGCCGTTCCCGAGAACAACTTTGTTGACAAACCCACGGTTAGTGTTACTTGCTGCAACGGTAAAGATCCAAGGTGCTAGGCTCGAGACGTAGCCTGGAAACGGGCCACTGTTATCAGCCGAGTTCACAGTGAGCACTCCCTTGGCCATAGCGTGGAAAGCTCCGATTGTACTCGGCTCCTCTTCAAAGGATGTGATAGCTCCGTCGATAGATAGAGTGATGAGGTCAACACCGTCGGCGATCGCATCATCAAAAGCAGACAGTATAGCTTCTGACGTACAACCGTTTATGAGGCAGACGTTGTAAACTGCGATTCTAGAGGCTGGAACGGCACCTCTCACCGTCCCGTTGCCGATTCCAAAGAAGCTTATGTCCGCAACAGCATTTCCAGCCGCGATGGACGCTGTATGTGTGCCGTGTCCTATAGTGTCCCTTACACCTTTGCCTGCGTAGTCTCTTGCCCCTATCAACTTGCTACAAAGAAAGTAATAAAACTGATCGATGTCTGGCCAAACCTATACTAATATTTGAACTGGTCAATCTAATCTACCCTCAACCACATCTTAGATTAACATTCCAATATAATAATGTACAAGAGAGTTTAAGGGAATTACTTGTTGCATGTGAAATTTGCTCCACCAGAACAAACTCCTTTCCATTTCTTTGGAGGAGGACCAAAGCCTTTATCAGAAAAGCTCTCGGATTCGGGCCAAACCCCAGTGTCGATGACTCCTATAATAGTATCACTCTCTACGCCCAAGTTTCGTTTTGTACTCTTTCCATCCTTTAACCCCATGAAGTCCCAAGAACCTGTTGTTTGGATTTTGTGCATCTTGCTCGGGAACACAGACACAACTCCATCCATTTCTAGCAACGCAAAACCCTAGGGTTTTAGTTATCTATCCTTTTGTAAAAATATTAAATAAATCAACTTAAGTGTGTCGCAATCAAAAATCACTCACTGGCTACTCGTTCCATTTCTGACTCAGTAAGTCTAGCCGCAAACCCATTGAAACTCCTTTTGTAACTTCTTACCAAACGACCTTCGATTGAACTAGAGTATATACATAAATAAATGGGAGTATTTCAACAGAGTATATACATTATAAATCATCTGGTAGAAATATCTAAATTGATTTAATCATATGACTGTATAAATAATCAATAAAATCACACCTCTCTCCAGTGACCTCTTGAAGAATACTCATGTGATGCGACATTGGTGTATATACCAGCCGAGACGGAAGTGAACCCATGTAGACAACATACACCTTCAGGATAATCATCATATTTATTCTGTATATAAAACGGAGAAATAACACGGTATGTAATTGATAATTTATATATATATTAACATACTTGTTTATCTTCATCTGTGACTGCTGAGACTGAACTGATCATGAACCAGACAAGGACACATGACAGGAGATAAAAAGGGGCTGACCGTTTCGCCATTTTTCTCATAAAATGAATAAATGTTTCTGTAGTTTTGCAATTTCTACGGAGATCAAGTTGATAGGATGAATAAATACTAGAATCATGCCAAAACCGTGTCAATTAAAAAATCTTAATATAATTCTTATATATGTTTCCTTTCTAGTATTACCATAATTTTCATGTTGTTGACCAAACTTTTTTTGGAGTAACATTGTATTTACATTTTTAGGAAACATATCCACGGTTTAATTTGTCACATATGTGAAGTCAAATTCTTTAAATTTTAAAAATTTCTTGCTGAAAACTTCATAGTCTCCTTTGAATGCTGCTGACTAACGTTTCTGTTATATCTTCCGTTATGTTCTCTCTTTTTTTCACTGAAAGATAATTATATTAATCGAACAATACAACACGGGATAAACCGGAAAATCAAAGCCCGAGATTTAAAACTTCTTCACGTATAGAAGTGTTAAATTTATGTTCGTAAATAAGTAACTGGGAACCACATCACAGTGGACAAAGTAGTAAGTGGAACTACTACTTCCAATAAAATATACGAAGGACTCCTCCCTCTTTTCTTGAAGTATGCAATGTACAGATAAAGATGTACCAGAACTGGTTCACGCCTTTTCTTTTCATCTTTCACCTCAAATGGCAATAGTAAGGAGAAGAGGCAAACGCTTGATCTGGAGCCACCAGTGGTAACTTCTCAATGTAGACAAACAACCGTTTCTGATTCTCTCTAGTAATCGCAGAGAGATTCCCTGTATCCGTATTGTCCAAGAAGATCCAGAGATCACCTGAATCCACTCTTTTAAGGCTGTCTCTACAGAAAGGGCATGACTATGATCTCCCTCGCCTAAGAATAAACATTACCCCTTTTTCAGAAAACCTCTTATACAAACAATGGTTTTAAGAATAGCTTATTAGTGACTGACTTACCAATCACGATAACACAACTATTCTGTTCATCTCCATACAGATTCAGCACTCTTCTTCCCGCTCGACTTCAATCTCAATCTCCGAGGACACACATTTTTTGCTTTCATCCTTCTTTCTGTATCGCATACTAAATATATACTTCTTTTTGTTTTCGGTCTTCAAGCTCTGTGATTAATTCCTCTTTGTAGTTGCAATAGGGATGGGAATATAATACCTAAACAAATTTATCAAAACAGCAAAAAAAGAAGAGTATAAGCATAATCATTATCAACATCGTTACTAGAAATTGTATTGAAAAAAAGACAAACATATACCGTAGAACTCTCTTATGCTGGATTTCCTTCGTAAGCCGACATGGTAGTTTTTCCATCGGCATAAGTCTGAACCAAATATAACTCACCAAGTTAATCACAAGAAACAGTATTTGTGTATGTAGTGAAACAAAAATGGGGGAAAGAGTACCATATATAATTTTTTTTTTGTGACGAGCTGGTACACGTTAAAAAATCTGAATATATTCGAAAGATTTCACTTAGGATTAGGAACCTATGCTTTTACATGCAAACCAAACAAAATATTAAAAGGTGAGAATATGGGAGATTAAGTATCACACATAATTTCAAACTCAACTTGAACGCTGAGATAAACTAACAAACACGACAAAAAGCGGACGAGAAAAACCAAGACTTATTCATAAAAAAGGACTTAGGAATCATGAAAGAGCTGATACATTGATGAAAAAAAAAAAGAGGAGGACTTACAGTGTGTTAGCATGTTGAATATCGGCTTTTAGGGCTTTAAGAGAATTCTTGAATGATAGTTTAGCCATGGCAAGTGAGACAACATAGAATCAAGAAAGTAAAACAATGATTAAAGATGAAGCATCCAAGAGGGCAAATAATACATAAAAAAAGGAAAACTATCAATGTTTCCTTTTCCGGATTCAATCCGATGATCGAAACTTTCCAATTTCCAAGTGATATTTTTGGAAAATTCCAAAAACATTCTAGATGATAATACAATACTGTACCTTTTTTTTAGCTTTAACCGGTTTCGTTCCTCGAAGTTGCTTTTTCAGAAAAGTCGAGTATTTGGTGCGGGAATTGCGGTTTTATAATCTTCTGTTTTGGCGTAACCATGGTTGTTTCGTCAATTTCCATTAAGTGATCGCCATTCATAGAATAATGTCTACCAATGAGTCTCTATCAGCTATACTTTTAAAAAACATCAACATGAAAATTTGAATATATAGAAGTTAAGTTGTATACTACAGTCTAGAATTCATGTCAAATAGTACTTTACATGTTGGTAGCTTAATACTTTTACATGTTAGTACTTTTTTTAAGAGGTCCAAGCAAGAGGTAGGTTAGTTGCAACATGATAATATTGTGCGTTCAACTAGCATTTGGCGCTTACATAAACACTCCACTACTAAAAAGATGAGCTAGTTGATAACTCTTTTTAGAGAAATTTGCTTCCCTACCAAAAAACTTTACCGTAATTTGCAAAATACCAAAGACATAAAAATTGTCGACTGTTCATGCTGCTTATTTACTCTGCTACCCTTTTCCGTTATGTTCTCTCTTTTTTTTCACTGAAAGATAATTATTGTTAGAGGTTCTAGATGGTTCTAGAACCGACATATATATTTCTGTGATAAAGAGTTGTTATGTATAGATAAGTCTTGGAGAAGATATTGTTAGATATCGATAAGGACTAGAAGATTGAGTCTTATCAGTTTGTATAGATGTATATCAACCACGTTTGTGGAAGTGAATAAACAAGAACTCTTTACCGTAACTCTCGATTTACATGGTATCAGAGCCATCAAAGCAAGATCAGAAAATTCTTTTAATTTTTTTTTCGAGAGACTAAAAAAAATGAGTGGAGAGAAATCAGAGATTGTGAGCTTGACAGGTACTTCGTTGGAAGCACGGATGTCTCCGTACTACCTAGCTCCGTGATTTCCAGCGCTATAATGAGGCAGCATTGGCAAAGCTAAGCTGGAGATTACTCAATAATCCAGAATCCCTACTTTGCAGAGTGCTAAAAGGGAAATATTTCCCTAATGGAGATATTCTTAGCTGTGAGATTGGATCTACCCCTTCTCACGGGTGGCGTAGTATCCTGGTGGGAAGAGATCTATTGCTCAAGAATCTAGGATGGATAGTGGGGAATGGAAACGACATAAACATTTGGTCTGACCCATGGCTGGATCACTCAAGACAAAGACGTCCTTATGGACCAGCCCCAGAAAACTATGTGAACCTCACAGTTGCAGACCTCAGAGTCAGTGGGGAAGGAGATTGGGATTTGGAGAAAATAAGGCTCATACTACCCCATCATGAAGAGGACATCCTAGCCATAAAACCAAGTATCGCAAATGCTCCAGACAAGCTGATATGGTTGGGTTCAAAATCAGGAAGCTACTCCACTAAATCAGGATACTATTTTGCAACGTCATTAAAAGAAAATGGGGGAGATCAAAACTCTGCCGCAAGCAATAAATGGTTCAAAAATGCCTGGAACCTAAAGGTGGCGCCAAAAGTCAAAACATTTGCTTGGAAAGTGTTAAAGAGAGCCTTACCAGTGGGAGAAAGATTGCTTGAAAGACATATTAATATTGATCCCCGGTGTAAACGATGCGGAGCCTCCGAATCTATTGTTCATCTTCTTTTCCATTGTCCATTTGCACAACAGGTTTGGCTTCATGCCCCCTTTGCCGTGGATTTTGATCTTAGAGGAATAGTAGATTTGGAAGCAGCTTGGTCTGGACTGTGTGCTAAACCTTGCCTTCCCCCAACTGGATTGATTTCGAGCCCCCTGTTCCCATGGATTCTCTTGACAATTTGGAAAGAGAGAAATAAATTGGTTTTTAAAGGAATCTCTGACTCCCCAATCGAAACCCTTACCACAACAATCAAAGCGGCTAAGGAATGGGACAGTGCACAAGACAGAGGGAAAAAACCCCTAACTCAATCTCCTCCACCAATTGGGAATCGACAAGAAGGAGCTGTAGTGATACGATCAGATGCGGCTTGGAGAAAGGAAGAGAAAAAAGCTGGGCTTGGGTGGACGATAGAAACGGAGTCGGGTACTTTCCAATAGAAGAAAACAGTTTGGCATGTTGGCTCACCCCTGATGGCAGGACTGGCTATTAGGGAAGCCCTGAGGGATTGTAAAGATCTTGAATTTCCATCTATTAGATTTGAATCGAATTCTCTCCAATTGATGAAGGCCATTAACGGCGGAGAGCCGATCTCCGAACTCCATGGCGTCCTCTCTGACATTAAATTGCTGAGCTCCACTTCTGTTTTAATTTCATTTTCTTGGATTCCTAGGATCCAAAACGATGTTGCTGATTCTATTGCAAGAGAAGCTTTTGTATGGTTGAGGCCTTTATGGCCAACACCTAACTCTTTATGGTGTTTTAATGAAAGTTTGAGTTCAGAAAAAAAAAGTGACTAACTTACCAATCACGATAACACTTGATGCACAAAGAATGAGTACAGCTTGGGAGAACAACTATTATGTTCATCTCCATACAGATTCCACACTCTTCTTCCCGCTCGACTTCAATCTCAATCTCCGAGGACACACATTTTTTTCTTTCATCCTTCTTTCTGTATCGCATACTGCATACTTCTTTTTGTTTTCGGTCTTCAAGCTCTGTGATTCCTCTTTGTAGTTGCAATATGGATGGGAATATAATACCTAAACAAATTTATCAAAACAACAAAAAAGAAGAGTATAAGCATAAACATTATCAACATCGTTACTAGAAATTGTATTGGAAAAAAAGACAAACATATACCGTAGAACTCTCTTATGCTGGATTTCCTTCGTAAGCCGACATGGTAGTTTTTCCATCGGCATAAGTCTGAACCAAATATAACTCACCAAGTCAATCACAAGGAACAATATTTGTGTATGTAGTGAAACAAAAATGGGGGAAAGAGTACCATATATAATTATTTTTTTTTGACAAGCTGGTACACGTTACAAAATCTGAATATATTCGAAAGATTTCACTTAGGATTAGGAACCTATACTTTTACATGCAAACCAAACAAAATATTAAAAGGTGAGAATATGGGAGATTAAGCATCACACATAATTTCAAACTCAACTTGAACGCTGAGATAAACTAACAAACACGACTAAAAGCGGACGAGAAAAACCAAGACTTAAGAATCATAAAAAAGGACTTAAAAATCATGAAAGAGCTGATACATTCGATAAAACCGAAGAAGAATGAAAAAAAAAGAGGAGGACTTACAGTGTGTTAGCATGTTGAATATCGGCTTTTAGGGCTTTAAGAGAATTCTTGAATGATAGTTTAGCCATGGCAAGTGAGACGAACATAGAATCAAGAAAGTAAAACAATGATTAAAGATGAAGCATCCAACGAAGGCAAATAATACAGAAAAAAAAAGGAAAACTATCAATGTTTCCTTTTCCGGATCCAATCCGATAATCGAAACTTTCAAATTTCCAAGTGAAATTTTTTGGAAAATTCCAAAAAAAATCTAGATGATAATACAATACTGTACCTTTTTTTAGTGTTAACCGGTTTCGTTCCTCGAAGTTGCTTTTTCAGAAAAGTCGAGTATTGGTGCGCGAAATGCGGTTTTATAATCTTCTGTTTTGGTGTAACCATGGTTGTTTCGTTAATTTCCATTAAGTGATCGCCAATCATAGAATAGTGTCTACCAATGAGATTTTCTCTATCAGCTATACTTTTAAAAAACATCAACATGAAAAGTTGAATATATAGAAGTTAAGTTGTATACTAGAGTCTAAAAGTCATGTCAAATAGTACTTTACATGTTGGTAGCTTAATACTTTTACATGTTAGTACTTTTTTTAGAGGTCCAAGCAAGAGGTAGGTTAGTTGCAACATGATAATACTGTGCGTTTCAACTAGCATTTGGCGCTTGCGTAAACACTCCACTACTAAAAAGGTGAGCTAGTTGATAACTCTTTTTAATGGAGGGGATCAAATAAATGCACGCACACAAAATGTGAGACCATGA